CAGCTTAAGCTGCGGCCGCGTGAGGAGCACGGTGCCCTAGTGCCGCCGCCCTCAGCAGGGCGCCCTCGGGGTACAGCCCTGAGGCAAGCGGAGCCCAACTGGAGAAAACCTGTTCAAACCCTTTGCCTAGCCTGGTCCTGCCGTGGCATCATTGTAAGATTGGATTACTTAATCAGTTAATTGCTGTGGGCCCGTTTGTCTAATCTGGGTGCGTGCGAGGAGCTGAGACTGAAGGGAATTGCCGCCAGACTGAGCGCAGAGCTGTTTCTTTTTAGGAAGCCTTCCCTTCACCTCTTCTCTTTTACTGCATTTGGGATGAGTAAGTGAACCTGACATGCAAAGAGTTCACTGCGACGCGAGCTGACCGAATTTGGTTTGCAGCTGCTCTGCTTTATCGGAGCAGCTGAAGGGTAGCAGCAAGCCTGCAATTCCTGACGGAAAGCTTGTGCTAGGGGTTGTGCGAGGTGAAAGGACCGTTCCTGCTTTCTCTGTGCGCTAAGACTTCCCTCCGCATACTCCCTGCGTGCTGAAATGAAGTCTGGAGAGAAGGAACCTGGGAGGTTTCCCACGTACTCTTGCCCAGGTTAATACTCAGTGAGCGGAGCTTTGAAGAGGTCTGCCAGCTGGGCCTGCCAGTGCTCACTTCTCCCTGTCCATATTCGGTCTTTTTCACTCCACTGGATTTTTACAGGCAAATGCAGAGGAAGGCAGTGATTTTATGCGCTGCTGAAATGTCACAGTAGCTCCACACCGAAGCTGTCTAGGCATCTTATGGGGTCTTTTCTGTGATGAACATATTCATAAGAGTTAGTCACATCACTGATTTAGCTTAAATATAAAGCATTTCTTCAAGTAGAGCAGAAGCCATACGCTGAATTTTAACTCTGAAAAGCTTTGGGAGCATATGATTCCTCACTGGTAGAATCATCTGGGACCAAGATCTGGTTCTTCAAAGACCCAGCTTTTCATAATTTAAACATTTTTAAACTGATTATCTGTCTTGCTTAGAAATGCTCACAAATTTCCTGTAAGTTTAGGGGGGAGGGAGGAAGGGAATTGCACTACTGAGAAAATGACAAGCCTGAGCCTGAGAATTGCCTAGGGACTAGCAGGCCGTCAGGCTGCGATTCCCTGCACCGAACCCTGGGGACAGCCGCTGGGACAAAGCTGCACCTTTGCGAGACCTTATCCTCAGCCAGCCTGACCCTGTCACCAGGAGAATCCTTCCCTCGCAGGCGCAGCGCACACCTCCTCCCAGCGCTGCCTCTGGTCCCACTCTCCAACCCACAGCGCGGCCCTCACGCGGGCATAGGGTGAGGAAGGCGCCCTTGCCCAGCTGCAGCGGCAGTCCCGCGTGTGCAGTTTGAGACAAAGTCAGTTTTGGCACTAATTTAAGAGTGGAAAGACTGGCTACTGTTGCAAGGATGTATAGGGCACCTCATGGAGAAAAACAACGCAAGGCTGTTCTGACCCTCCCCATTTCGGAGGGCCGGTTCACGACTGTGCTTGGTTTGCGGTGTGAAAACCTGACGATTTGCCTCAGAGCTTTCTGCAGAACTGTTAGTCGAAAAAATGTGCAGCTCTGTTGTCTTATGTGCTGCTTACACAGAGGGGGTCAAAGGACTTCAGGCCTAACAAGAA